AGAAGAAAAGAAAGAAGAAACCAATGAAACATTGGATGGTTGTGGGGAGCAGAAGGCAGAAGGAAGTGGGAACGTCCCAAGCAAACAGCACGGTGTGGTTGTGATCACGCTACATTTAATATACATTTCAAAAACTGGATCTAAGAAAGCTCACAATGACATCCCCATTACTTCTCTATTGGTTGTCTCTGTACATCAAAAATGTGTGTGTGTGTGTGTGTGTGTGTGTGTGTGTGTGTAGGTGGCTGTTAAGTTCATAATTTTAAAAGGAGGAAAAAAAATCAATGTCAATTCTCTCCCTGACCCTTTGTCTGTCTAGCTCCGTTCCTGCAATGATTTCATGAAGGATTTCTTTTTTCAAAGAAGTTGCCAATATTGAATCCCCACTTCACTCACCCTGAACACAGCACACATGCAGGGAGTCAAAAGCCCCCTGGGATTTTCCCCAGAAGGTTTTTTTAATTTGCGCTAAAGGATGAAACAGTGCTTTTCCCCCAAACAAAATTAACACCTAACATCTAATTTAAATCAAAATTAACACCAAAACTAACACCTATTGCCACATGAGTGCAAAAACTGCTTCTTACCTGGTTTGCATCTCCCCTAGTGCCAAGCACAGGACAGCTAGGTGGTTCGGTGGACAGAGCACCAGACCTGAAGTGAGAAGACTCATCTTTTAAGTTTAGTCCAAATGACCTGCAGCTGGCCCCCATCCTGGTGATGAGACTTCATATCTGCCTTCTCTTCAAGATCTTCCTTCTGCTTTCTCCACTCTTGGTTTTTCTTGGTTATTCTGGTTATCCATCTCGCACTCACAACCTGCTGCTACCTACAGCCCATATGTTCCCTGCCCCAAATACACATTCATGGCCCACCTCAGGTGGCAAAAACAGAAACGCAGAGAAAGAACCACAGGAAAATCCATGGACACCTTTTCCAATGCAAAGATTACTCTCCACTTGACTGTCTTCCTCCTAGCTCCCCACTCCTATCAGGAATTCAACCACTCAGTACTGAATAATATCCATCGTGCCATCCACTCAAGTCCTTCATCCTGGTGTGGAGCTGGCCCTGCACTTTTTTTTGTTTTTGTTTTTAGGCAATTGGGGTTAAGTAACTTGCCCGGGATCACACAGTATCATGTTTGGTCTGAGGCCGGATTTGAACTCGGGTCCTCCTGACTTCAGGGCCAGTGCTCTATCCACTGTACCACCTAGCTGCCCCCACCCCTTCATTTTAGAGAGAAGGAAACAACTCTAGAGCAGTTAAGTGGCTTCCCTAAGGTTGCAGACAGAGGACAGACAGAGGAGACCCTTTGGTCCCACTCTTTCATTTTTCAAAAGACTAAACTGAGGCTCATGGAGTTTAAGTGACTTGTTCAAGGTCACTCACAACAGAGGTGGCATTTGAACCCAGATCCACTGTCTCCAAATCCCATGCTCTGTCCACTGCATCACCTTGCGTCCGATCTAAGATTCCCAAAGAAGATCATCTCTAAATGGCTGGCTACAAGGGGATAATATTTGTTTGACCATGAAGTTCATTGAGCCATCCACCAGATAGGAATGTGAGGATGGAGGTGGGGAGGTGCTGCAGTTGCCATGGGAGAATGATGGATTCAAGTGGATGCAATCAGAGGTCTTGGAAGCATGGAAATTAATAATAATGGCAAAAACCACAATAATAGTAATAGACATTTATTTAATAGTTTACAGTGAAAAAGTGCTTTACGTACTTTCTTCCCCTTATATGCTCACAGAAATCCTAGGACATATTGTAATATCATCCCCATTTCAAGGAGGTAAATGAGAGATAGAGAGTGGAAATGATCTGCCCAATGTCACACAGCAAGTCAGTGGTGGAGCTGGGACTCCAGCCCAGGTCTTCTGAATCCAAGTGGGAAAAAGACTAAGTGGATGGGTTAACTGTGCAATAAACATTCTCGTACGGTGCTGTCAATGTCTGTTCAACAAAAAAAAAAAAAAAAAGAAGAAGAAGAAGAGGTTAGCCACTCTTGGTGAAAAGGGCAGCAATAAACCCTGAAGCATTCACATGAGGATTTTGATCTGTGGTTTGACCCCCAAGATGTCTCTCTATTTACCCTTCACCAGGTCCCTTGGAATACAAGAAATGGCTTACAGAAGTCACGTAGAGTCTGTATAATCTCAAAGTCATAGGTGCATAGAATATCAGCACTGGGAGGGCCCTTAGAACAGAGAACGTCAGAGCTGGGAGAATCCTTAGAACAGAGAATAAAAGAGCCAGGAGGATCTTTAGAATAGAGAATGTGAGAGCTGGGAGGGCCCTTAGAACATGCAATGTCAGAGCTGGGATGGGACCTCAGAACAAAGAATATAAGAGCTGGGAGGATCTTTAGAATAGAGAATGTCAGGTCTAGAAGAGGTCTTAGAAAAGGAAATATCAGAACTGAGGGAGTCCTTAGAACAGGGAAATGGTAACTGGGGAGGACCTTAGAATAGGGAATGTTAGAGCTGGGAGAGATCTTAGAATGTCAGAATGAGAAGGGACCTCAGAACATGGAGTGGAGAGACCTTAGAGCAGAGGACATAGAACGGCAAAGTTGAATGGAATCTAAGAACACAGAATATGGAAGGTCAGAGTTCTAGAAGATCTTATGACATAGAATACGAACACTAGAAGGGTCCTTAGAATAAGGAATAATGTGGGAATGTAAGAGCCAGAAGGGCCATTAGAGACCAATCAACCCTGTGCCTCCTCCCCCAAGGTAGGAGTCCCCTCTACACAATGCCTGTCTAGCCTGCATTTAAGTTCCTACTTCCCAAGGCAGCCCAACCCAGTGTCTTTAAAACAGTGCTGGTATCCCTGTTAATACTTCTCTTCTCCAGGCTTAATCACCCTAGTCCCTCTAAATCATCCTTACGTGACCCAATTTCCAGCCTTTTCCCTGGCTAGCTAACCTCTTTGACACATTGGGAGTCAGTCTCCCTCCCAAAATGTGTCTGCTGAACTGGATAGAAGCCTTCAGACAGGGTCTGATTGGGGCAGAGGATTTTAGCAGTGTCACTTCCTGCCCTATGGACACCTGGCTACCCCGACAGGATGATTCAGGGGACAACAGGGACAGGGTCCTGCTAGCAGTCTCGAAGACTCGGTTCCCCCCGCCCAGGTACCTCATAAGATGGCTCCCTTTCATGCAGTGAGTCATTGGCAGATGGAGCGAGCAACGCACAGCCACGAGGTTGGTTATAATATTCATGTTCTTTATTCTATGCAATAAAGAAGAAAAGGCAAAGGACAACTTAAAGGAACAATCTGTCTTAGAATCCAAGTAGGTTGGAGTTAGGAGAACTCAAAATCATAGAATTTTAGACTCACCATATCTCAGAATCTTAGATGCAAGCTCAGAATATTAAATGTATAGCCTCAAGGAATATTAAATTCATATGTTTTAACATTATAGACTCTTAGCATCACAGAGTTTTAGATTGATGGAATATTTTAGAGTCACAGAATTCTCAAACCTTCAAATGACTCGTTGGGTCATAAAGTGATTCAATGCTTAAAATCAAGGAAGATGTCCAGGCCGTGAACTGAGTTTGAATCCTGATTCTGCTATATGCCAGCTGTGTAGACCATGGGTAAGTCACTTAACCTCCATGAACTTCAGTTTCCTCAACTGTGAAATAAGGAGGTTGGACTGGGTGGTCTTCAATGTCCCTTCCAGGTCTCCATTCTTTGATCTCTGAGGTTCATTCCATCTTGGAAACCCTAAAATTCCATCTGTCTTCCCATCCTGCCCCCCTACATTTCTAGGCCTTCTAAATGGCTAAATGAAGGTAGGAATAGAGGCTTGGGGCAGCTCCTCTAGACCCTCTTCTATTGGGCCCTCAAAGACCTACCTCCCTCTGCACGTACCTCATAGATGAGATCTTCTGGTGGGTCCTGGGGAGACAAACAGAAAGTGTCCACATCAGGGGTTGGGGATGCCACTGCTCATGAGTTCTCATTTCAACCAAGTGCCAAACCCTTGGCTCTTGGTCATATCCGCCAGAGAGAGTCAGGGTTTGGGGTTGAGAATAGCAGTCTATCTCCCAGAGGTAAATGGAAGAGAAGGGTAGACCCCATGGGAGTAAGGAAGTGACCAAAGAAAGGAACCCAACTAAGAGGAACTGAGTATCTGTCACAGGGAGGGGCCCAAACCACAGATTGGGAAGGGTTGGCTTCACCTTGCACAGAGAGAGAAGCCCGGAGTGTAGGTTGGAAAGCATCGGGCATTGGCAGGGAACCATGGCAGAGGAAGAGAGCAGAAGGATGCCTGCAGGTTTTCCACCTCCACAGGTGGGAAAGGGAGCCCCCGGGAGCTTCCCCCACCTTTGCCGATGGGGAGGGAATCAGGGGAAGTTTATCCAACCTTTGCAGGTGGGGTGGGTCTCTGGGCTCCTAAGGCATTTGTGGCCACAGATTCTGACTGACCTGGAATGAGAAAAACCCAATATATCCAGAGGCAAGACCTGACCCTTCTGAGGCCAGATCATAGCTTCTACATTTGGAAGAGTCCTTAGAGGTCATCTTGTTCAGCTCCTCCCATTCTACAGATGAGGAAACTGAGGCCCAGAGAGGTAAAGGAACTTGCCCATAAGTCATACAGAATAAGTTACCAGCGAAGCTAGGACTAGAATGCTGGTCATTTTGATTCTCATGCCTGGAGTTTTGTTTTGTTTTTTGAGAGGCAGTGGGGTTAAATGACTTGCCCAGGGTCACACAGACAGTAAGTGTCAAGTACCTGAGGCTGGACTTGAACTCAGGTCCTCCTGACTCCAGGGCAGGTGCTCTATCCACTGCACCACCTAGCTGCCCTATGCCTGGACTCTTAATATAACTTCCTTTGGAGGGGTGGGAGAGGAGTTTCTGGGGGATGGGGCTCTGGACTGTTCTGTCAGTGCATCTGCTTACCAGGATTGGGCGCCAAACGAGTCTCCCCTCCTTCTGCCTGCTCCCCTGACTTCTTTTCTGTGTACCTGAAACAGAGTGAGCTTGTTATTCTCTCCCTGTCCTCTTCTGGAATGCTGAAGGCTTCATTCCCAGGGCTACAAAGTATGAACACAGGTCCCAGACATTCTGACTCCTCTATCCATAAGACAAGAGATGGCAGGATTGAGAGCAGACTGATCATTCTCTTTCTTTGAAATCCTCCCTGTCCTTCAAGGCCATCGCTAATACCACCTCTTCCCTGGACCCCTCCAAGATTGCCCCAGACCACGGCCATGGCTATGAACTCTCAAAGCACATTCCCAACATGCTCCTCACTCCATACGTTGCATACGTAGCCCAGAATTTATGCTGTGGCCTTTCTCCACCCCTCAGCCATACCCCACCCTATCCGCCTAGCCTCACTTCCAGAGGGATCGTCTTATGGTAAAGAAAGAACGTTAGACTGGGCTTGTGTGCTGGCTGTGTGATCCTGGGAGAATGACTACCCCCTTTCTGAGCCTCAGTTTCCTCATCTGTAAAATGGAAGAGAATGAAATCTATGCTACATCCTTCGGAGTGCACGCTACCTACCCTAGTGAGGACAAGTCTCTGTGAGCCCCAAAGAACAAGAGTACCAGAAGCTATTATCATACAGTCTGTCCCAAAGCTGGGGGGTGTCATAAGACTGAGAACTGAACAGTGCCTCAGAGGTCCTTGGCCTCCTAGGGCATCCCTTTAGAGAAGAGGCAATTTAGTTCAGCCCCCTCCTTTTACAGATAAAGCAAGTGAGGCACAGGGAGTTGGAAGGACTTGCCCAAAGTCATGCAGGTAGTAAGTGCAGAGCAAAGACTTGGATGCAGGTCCCCAGATGCCACATGCAACCTGCAGCCCACTGACCCTCTCTGCCTGGGATAGAGCACAAGAGAGGCTGCTGAACAGATCCCCCAGGCAACAAGGCCTTCCTCCCATTCCAGAGGGTACCTTCTCCTGATGACCAAGAAATACACCAGCCCTGCGAGAAGAGCGACAGCAACCAGAACTCCAATCACAATACCAACAATGGCCCCAGACGATAGTGAGGAATCTGGCATACCGGGGAGACAGGATTCAGATTTGTAGCCCAGAGCCACAAGCAGAGGCTTCCTATAGGGTGTGAGGGGTCTAGGACATCCCCAGGAGGTGGAGGAAGCCCAGGTATGTGGTAGGAGGAGTCCCAAAGACAGTATGTCAAGCCTATGGTGTGGGGCGGGAGCCAGGGGCATGTCCTAGGGGTGAGCACCCAGGGATATGTCAGGGTATTGAGGGACCCCAGTGAGGGGCCTGTTCTGAGGCAGGTGTGGAACCCAGACCTATGAGGGCCCAGAATCCTCTCTTGAGAGTGGAGTACCATTCCTTCCTTTGTGGGGCAAATAGGGACGCTGATTGGTTAGATCACAGGCTGTACCCACCAAGTCATCTGCATCACAGGTACCCCCCAAAGCATGGGGGCCTGGGCAAGTGCCTCAATTTGTCGTGACTTCTGGCTTGGGACTTCACGTACAGATCCCCTCCTTTCTCTGTGTTCTCAGTCCGTGACCAGAAGCGGCTAGGCGCCTGAGCTCTGTATCTCCCCAGCACCCCAGGGAAGGTGCAAGGAGGGCTATGCTCAGGGACTCACCAACCACCCTGATGGTGACTGTGGCTGAGCGGTCCAGTCGGGTCAGATTGTTCCAGGCGGAGCACATGCCAGTTCCCTGATGATCCCAGGTCACCGCCTCTATGGTGAGTAGAGACCCAGCGTGCTCCAATGAGCTGGTGGTATTGAGGGACCAGTGATACTGAGCCTCTGGCTGAGAAGGAGCACTACACAATAAGGTCAGAGTAGAGCCAAGAGTAATCTCGATACTGTTGAGCGCGCTGGACCCCGAGGCCCGAGTGATATTGATCTGGTCAGGTCCATCTGTAAGGACAGGAGAGAAGCAAGGACAAAAGGCTCCAGGAGCAGTGCTGGCAACACAGGGGAAAGATGCTAGATTTGGAGTTCGATAACACAGGATTCGAATCCCGGCTAGACCCCCTATTAAAGATGTGACCCTGGCCAAGTCCCTTCCCTTCAGGCCTCCTTTTCCTCATCTAAAATCGGGTGACTGGACAAGATGATTAGCACTGTACGATTCTGCAGTCTCTGATCCGGTTTATTAGGATTGGGACATAGGACGTGGGAATGAGACCTAGACGCAATAGCACTGGACTTGGAATCAACCTGAGCTGAAATCCTGTCTCAGACGCTTAGTTGTTGTGTTACTTGGGTCAAATCACTTAACCTCCCTGGCGTCAGTTTCCTCAGTTGTAAAATGGGGATAATAAGAGCATTCCTGGGGCTGTTGAGCGAATCAAATGAGAGCGCATATGTGAAATGCTTTGCAAACCTTAAAATGCTTTATTATTATATGCTTACAACTTTTTAATATTAAATGTTTAGACCTTAAAATATTACAGGGAGACTGATTTTAGTCCAGCGTGAAGAATTTAACACTCGAAGCTTTCCTTCTATGGCACAATCAGTTGGCTCCAAGAAGGCAGTGTGTTTTTCATGGTGAAAAGTCTTTAAAGCAGGGGCATGACCAATTATAAGACATGAGGGATGGGATCTAGTAGAATATAAGCTCCCTGAGGACAAGGCTTTTTTTTAAACATTTTGTTCTTGTATACCCATCATCTAGTTCAATACTGTGCATGATAAAAGTTTATTGTCAGCTTACAAAATGCTTATTATTGTATCTGTGCGACGTTAGGTCACCTTAGACTCTCTGGGCCTCAGTTGCCTCATCTGTAAAATGGAGAAGCTGGACCAGAAAGCCTCTAGAGGCCCTTTTAACTCTAGATCCAGGCTGTTTCTCATCACCAACCCCACCCCCAGATGAATGTGAGAATCTTGAGGGTAAGAACAGCTCCATTTTTCTCTTCATATCCCCTACCCCAGTATAGTGTCTAGGACACGTGTCTATTGGTAAACAAACCTTTTGACTCAGATATCCCATCGCTAGGCATTGACCCAAGGAGGTCGATGATAAAAAAAAGACACCAAAATATCCCCAGCAGCATTGTTTGTAGTAGGAGAGAGTTGGAAACAAAGGAGAATCTGTGCAGACTACAGAAAGAGAGGTCCATGAACAAGATGGAATCCTACTATGCCAGAAGTGACAAATGTGACAAGAACAGAGAAAACTGAGAAGACCTCTGTAAACTGATGTAAAGAGAAGGAAGCAGAGCCGGGGAATCCACATGTGCACCGACAGCTGGCGGGTTGAGTGGAAAGAATGACACCACCAACGACAGCCAAATGGAATGGCCGAGCTTGACCCCTAGGGGAGAGACGTGGGAATGCGCCTCCCTCCTTTCTACCAGAGGCGGGGGACTGTGGCTGCGGAACCTCGCATCTAATTTCAGGCTCCACCGATATGTTGGTTAGTTTTTTAAACAGCTTGCTCATCTTCTTTCTTTTATTTTTCTTGTTATAAAAGATGGGGATATAATGAGAATATATGTATAAGATATATATATTTATAATGAGAATACATAAGATTATACATAATGAGAATATATATAATAAGGATATAATGAGAAAGAAGGAAGAAAAGTTTAGGACAGGATAAGAAGTAGACTTCTGATTTCATTGACATAAGGAACTCCTCTATGAAAAACTTCCTTTCCCAGTGCAGGCCAGCACCTTCCCTTTCACTTATAATCTTGGAGCATCACCTCAAGGACAGAGAAAGGAAAAGATTTGCCCAGGGTCACATGGACAGTATTAAAAAAAAACAGAGATATCCATTCCAAAAATGTTAGCCATCACAAGCAATTCAGGCTTTCTGGGTCAAAGCGCCGGAAGTGGTCACTTACAGTTCACGGTCAAAGGCACAGGGTCACTGCTGATACTGCTGATCAAGTTCCTCGTGGTGCACTGATACTGCCCAGCATCCTCCCTGTGAACCTGGGTTATGGTCAATGTCCGGTTCCCCTGGGACAGCACCAGTCGGTCATTTGCTGGGAGGCTTTGATTGTCCAAAAGCCACTGAACCTCAATCTCAGTATCTGGAGTAACACAGGTAAAACTCACCGCTCCCTCATCCTCCACGATAGAGGTGGTATTGGCCAACACATGGGGCTTGGTCACCCACTCTGGAGAGAAGGAGAGAAGGTGCATTTAGGGACCCAAGCTCAGGGGGATTTAAGATCACCCATCCAGTGCCTCTCATTATCTAAGTGAGGAAACGGAGGCCTGGAACCATGAATGACTTATCAACGTCACCTAGATGATTAAGAGCGGAGCCAGGCTTCCAAAGCAGGTCCTCGGAATCCAAATTCAGTAGTCTGTGTCCAACACATTCCCTTGGTCCAGCCCCTTCACTCCCCTACTGCCCAAACCAGCCTCAGCTACTAGTACTCCAATTCACCCAGGAAAAGGAAGCCAGGAGTGTCCTCTCCAAGGAAACTGGGGGAAATGTCTCCAAGCAAGCGAAGATCTGGGGTCAAGGACAAAGAGCCCAAGATTGGGAGTTGGGATGCCTGGGCTCTGGTCCTAGTTTCACTAATTAGCACAGTGACTTTGGAAAGTCTCCTTCCCTCATTGGGACTCATTCTCCTCATCTGTAAAATGAGGTGATGACTTCCAACCCCACCTCCGTATGATAATGTGGGTTCTAAGCTTTGACATCCGCTGTTCTAAAGCCCCTCCCAGCCCTGACATTCCCTGTTCTAAGGCCCCTCCAAAACCTGACATTCCCTGTTCTAAGGGCCCTCCCAGCTCTGACATCTGCTGTTCTTTCATTCCAGCTCTGACTTCTGTGACACTGTCTCTGAGTCGAGAAGAGTGGACCTAGGCTAAGCGGTCTCGCCAGGACTCACCAGCCACCTTGACTGTGACAGACGCTGAAGCAGATTTTCCAGCCAGCCTATTGTCCACTGTACATTTGTAATTCCCGTCGTGATTCCTGGAGGCCATTGAGATGGAGTACTGGGACTCCAAAATCCCCAAGGAATTTTCATTCAAATACCAGGTATAGTCAGGGGCAGGGTTTGACTCGGCCTGGCACTTTAACGTGAGGCTGGAGTTGATTTCCACTCCAACGATGTTGCCCCAAATGGATCCAGTATCCGGCGTGATCGTGACCTGATCTGGTCCATCTACATAGAAAGAACAGAATGTGAAGGCTCTTCATTCTCTTCAGTATGGGTATTGATTGTACAAGGCCCTGCCTGGCCTTAACCCTCCTTTATCCTCTCTCTCCACGATTCCCTATGGTGACCTCATCCCCTGCCAGGGCCTTAATGGTCATGCTTTGTGGAGCCACCAAAATCTGCTTGCTTGGCCCTGAGATTTCCCAGATCTCCCAGCCCACATTTCCGGCTGCCTGCTGGACAGCGCCACCTGGCCCCCATAGGAAAGAGCACTGAGCTGGGAATCCAGAGAAGTCTTCCCCTCTCACCCCCAACATAAGGGACGGGGTTCTCTCTCTTCTCTGATTGCTTACCACATTTAGTGAAGGCTTCTTCCTTCTCTGCTCTTCTCCCACTCTCCCTTGAAGAGTGAGTGAGTGTGTTTATGTGTGTGTGTGTATACATCCCTTTCCCCACATCTGACTGCAAACTCCCCAAGAACAGAGTTTGAGTCAGCTATCTTTGTATCTTTGGCCCCACAGAAGAATCTGAAAGTAGTAGGTGCTTAAGAGATACTTGTTAAAGTGAACCAAATTAGAATTTAATGGATCACAATTGAAATGATTTAAATTATAATGAAATAAATGTAAAAGAATCAATATGAATTGAATTTAAGTAAAATTAATGAAATGAAATTAACTGAATGAATTTTAACTGAAGGGAATTCATAATCAAAAAGGGAAAGGGAAGCCTACATAATTGGATGGGTACCCTAGGTTTCAAGAGAGCAGATTCCAAAAGGTTCAGAGGATAGATGGTTAACAAGCCATGACTTAGGAATGAATTTTTTTAAATTTTATCACCCTTTATTTTCACATTATCTTCATTTCTAAATATGTCCCTCCCTCTTCTACCCAATCAATTATCCTTTGTATCAAAGAATCAAAAATAAAGAGGAAAATGAGCTTAGCTAAATTTATCTAGTTCAGTAAAACTATGAAATATTCTTCTAGCAGTTGGCATTTTCCTCTCTAAGAAACCTACCCTACCTTTCATCTGTTCTGTATTATCTTATATGTTGAACCTGTTTACAGTCATGTTATCATGGCCCAGTGGATAGAGCATTGGACCCAGAATCAGGAAGATCTGAGTTCAAATTTGACCTGAGACACTTCCTAGCTGTGTGACCCTGAGCAAGTCACTTACAATCTGTCTGCCTCAGTGTCCTCAACTGTAAAATGGGGATAATGATAGCACCTATCTCTCAGTGTTGGTATGAGAATAAAATAAGTCAAGTGCTTAGAAGGTAGTTTGTTGTTGTTGAATTGTGTCAGTCATGTCTGACTCTTCACGGCCCCATTTGAGGTTTTCTTGACAGAGATACTGGAGTAGTTTGCCATTTCCTTCTCTAGCTCATTTTACAGATGAAGAAACTGAGGCAAACAGCATTAAGTTACTTAAGGGTCTGAGGCCAGATGTGAACTCACAAAGATGAATCTTCCTGACTCTGTATTTGCACTCTATCCACTGCACCACCTAGCTGCCAAAAAACAAAGTTAAGTGACTCACCCAGGGTCACACATCTAGTATCTGAGGTCAGATTTAAATTCACGAAGCTGAATCTTCCAGACTTGAGGCCTGGCATACTATCCACTCTGCCAACTAGCTGCCCTAGCACATAGTAGGTGCTTAATCAATGTTATTAGTATATAAGCTCCTTGAGGGCAGGGATTGTTGGCTTGTTCTTTATGCCCTTGGCTGTTTGCACAGTGCCTAGAACATAGTAAGTGCCCAATAAAAAGTTTGTTGATAGAATTGAATTGAATAACAATGAATTGAATTGATAAGAATTCAATATTGGTATGAATTGAATTGAAAGCAATTTAAATGAATTTAGTTGAAACTTATTTAACTGAAATGAACTAGTTGAATTGAATTTTTAAAATGAATAGAATTGATAGGAATTGAACTGTATTGAAACGAAATGGATTTAATTGAATCTCATTGAAAATAATGGAATGAAATTGGAATTAGTCAAAAGGGATTGAACAAATTGAACTGAAAAGAAGCAAATAATATTGATATAAATTGAAATAAAAGGAAGTGAAATGGATTGAATTGGAATAAATCTAACTGAATTGAACTAGCTGATCAGAAAAAAACTAAAGAGGACTGATATGAATTTAATTGAACTGAACTGAAATTAATTTAATCTATTTGAATTTAATAGAAATAAACAGAATGGAAGAGGTCAAATGAGTTGAATTAAATTATTACACCAACCTGAGCCCTTGGTAACAATTTTGTGTGTCCTTCTTACCCAACGCTGACCTCAGTCACACACCCTCATCCATCCTCACTCACCAAAGCAGACAGTTGGCATCCCAACTTGACTCAATGGACACAATACTTTCCCAACACTTTGAGCCTGCTCAGGCCCAGATATCTGCTCCCTCCCATGTGGACCCTGCCTTGTTGTGTCCCCTATCTGCTGCTGCCCACACCAAGGGAGTGGGGAACAAGTGGACAGATGCCCTTCCTATCACAGAATCCCAGCAGGCCTGTCACCTCCCTCATTCCAGATATAGGGCTCTCTCAGTTCCACTTAGGGTTCACCAGCATCTCAGGATCTTAAAGTGGCACAGGCAGAATTCAAACTCACGTCTCCTGACTCCAGAACAACTAGGTATAGAACCACACCACTCAGGTTTGAACCCAGCCTTAGCCATCTCATGCTTATGGACCTTGGGTCAGTCCTTCCCTATCTCTTGGCCTCAGTTTCTTTATTTGTAAAATGTCAGGGCTGGACTTGATCTCTGAGGTTGTGTGATACTTGGAATGTCCCCATGGGAAGGAATCAAAAGCAAGATCTACCTGAGCAAACATCTCTGTCCTTTGCAGAACTTTAAATGTCAGATCTAATTCTTGGGAAGTTTTTCTTCACTTCCAGAGAAAATCTATCTCCCTACATCTTTCCTCCCATCATTCCTACTTATAGATTCTGAGAGCAAGCCGTCAGCAGAATGTCTCTTATGACATATAGACCCTAGGTGTAGAGCAGGAAGAAAGGTTAGGCCCCATTGAGTCCTTACCTTTTAGAGACAATGGAAACTGAGGCCCAGAGAGATGAGATTTGCCAGGTCACAAAATGTGAGGCTTGGACTCTATGATTTCTAAAGTCTTTCCCACTCCTGTCAAGTCAACAATCATTTATTAAGCACCTACTATGTTCCAGGTACTGTGTTAAGTGTGGGGGATGCAAGGAGAGGCAGTCTACAAAGAGAAAGTCCAAAGAGAACAGTCTGTATTCTCAAGGATCTCACAGGCTGATAGGAGAGGGGAGAGGGAGAAGGAGGGACGGAGAGAGTAAGGATGGAGGGAGACGACCTGCAAACAGTTAGGTACAAATATAAATATAGGATCAGTGGGAGAGAGTCTCTGGAGGAAGGCACTAACATTAGGGAGGACTGGGAAAATCTTGCAGAATTCCTAGGAGTACAATGGGACACCAACATTTGGGGGACGGGAAGGCAGGAGAGGTCCCATGTAAAAGGTGCTCTTTGAAGAGAACTAGGGATTCTAAGCATCAGAGGTGAAAAGGGAGAGCATTCCAGGCAGGGGAGAAAGCCTATGCAAGGCGCAGAGATGAGAGACTGAAAGTCAAGTGTGGGGAACAGCATGGTCAGCATGGAATGCATGAAGAAGAGTGATATATAATACACCTGGAAAAAGTAAGCAGGTCCTATGATCCATCAATCTGCAAGAATGTATAAAGCCCCCATTATGCATCAGACACTGTGTTGGAAGCTGGGGATAGATTTTCATTGTTCTGTCCTTTCAGTCATATCCGGCTCTCTGTGACCCCATTTGGGGTTTTCTTGGTAAGCATGCTGAAGCAGTTTGTCATTTCCTTCCCCAACTCATTTTTCAGATAAGGAAACTGAGGCAAACAGGGTTAAGTGACTTGCCCAGGGTCGCCCAGCTAGTAAGTAGCTAAGGTTGTACTTGAATTCATGAAGGTGAATCTTCCTGATTCCAAGCCCAGCGCTCCATGCCCTATGGCGCCCTCTAGCTGCCCTTTGGGGATAGACATAAAGACAAAAAATCAGTCTGGTCTCAAGAACCTTCCTTTTGTTCTATCAAAGGAGAGACATGGAGATAGAGATAGATAGAGATAGAGATAGACATACGCACACATATATGAAGTATTTATTTTTTTAAAAAGCAGCATAGGGGCAGTTAGGTGGTGTACTGGCTAGACTTTTGGCCTTGGAGTCAAGAGGACCTGAGTTCAAATGTGACCTCAGATACTTGAAACTTACTAGCTGTGTGACCCTGGGCAAGTCACTTAACCCCGACTGCCTCACCAAAAAACAAAAAACAAAAATAAAATAAAAAAGTGGTATAAATTTAAAATTACAAGGTCAATAAATTCATCTCTCTCATTTTGTAGATGGAATGATTGAGACCCAGGATCACACAGCTAGTAAATGTCTGAGACTGAATCTGAATAAACCACTTTGGGGTGAGGCCAGAGAGGGGGAGGCCAGTATGGAGGCAGTATGAGGGGTGGGGGAGCATGAGGAAAAGCCTCAGATTGGAGGTAGCATTTGAGTTCAGCTTTGAAGGAAATCACATATTCCAAGAGACCAAGGTGAGCAGGGACACCTTATACAAAGGCATGGAGATAAGAGATGGGATGTTGCATGTGAAGAACAGCAAATATGCCCTTTGGTTGGATGCCCACAGCCCCACTGACCCTGGATCTGCTGCCTGCCTGCCTGCCTGCCCTACTCCCTCCTGACTGGCCTCATCCCCTTGGATGACGACCCTTGCACTCAGAATCCAGGGTGAGCCTATGCCTGGGTCTGCACCCCTGTCCTCAGGGCAGCTGGTCTCCTCCAGTGGATCCCTGTGATCCCTAGCAATTTGCAACAGCCACCAATTGAAGTCACCTCCCAGGTGTGGCCACTCACAATCTCCCAGAATCTCAGAACCAAAAGAAATCTTAGCATCTTCCAGGGGAACTTGGACAAAATCCTCGAGGGAGTCCCTGATAAGATCAAGGCTGGAGTGGATGCTCCTTGGAGCTAAATTCAGATGCAGAAGACCTGGGATAAAATTCTGGCTGTCATGCCAGTGTGTCTTCCAGTATGACCTTGGGGAAATTATTTCTCCTTGACTTTCTTCTCTGAGGTAAGATGAGGGTACTGGAATAGATAACCTTTCAACCCCATGTCATGATCCTATGACCCATCTGAGGTTCTCTCCAGCTCCGAGATTCTGTGATCTGAGCCATCCCAACACTGAACAAAAATCTCCTCTATGCTTAACAAGTCATCAGCCCCATGACGGGGACCTCACTACCTACTCAGCTCATGCTGCTGAGGAAAGATGAGAGGTCCAGGATCAGGTCCCTAGAGGGAAGGGGAGACACTCACAGAAGACAATCAGGTTGATGCCATCACTCTCCTGGAAGCCCACTGAATTCCAGACTTTACACTGGTAGTAACCACTGTCCCCTCTGGTAACATTGTGAAAGGTGAGGATCTTGTTATCTGAAGACAGGGACAGTTGAGGACTGAGTGGGAGCTCAGCATTATTCAGGAACCACTGAATGTTGACATCCGCTTCATTGGGGTTACATGTGAACTTCACCAAGCTCTGGAACTCAATGATGGAACCTCCAGGCTCCATGATGATGCTGGGTTTTGATGGCATCACTGGAACAAAAGAGGAGAGAGGTTAACTCATTGTTCCAGGGAAGAGGGCACACGCACAGCCCACAGTCAGTCAGTCAATAAACATTTATTAAGCTCCAACTATGTGCCAGGCACTGGGGATAAAAAGAGTCAAAGACAGTCCCTGCCCTCACAGAACTCACAGCCTAATGGGGGAGAAAACATGCAAAAGACTTTGGACAAACGAGATCTATACGGGATAGATAGAGAAGAATCAATGGTGAGAAGGCACTAGAATGAAGGAGGATCAGGAAAGGTTTTCTGGAGGAGGGGAGATTTTATCTGGGACTTGAGGGATGCCTCCTGGAAGAGCTGGAGAGCAGGCATAGGGTCACAACAGCTAAGAGCTGGAAGGGACCTTAGAGGTCATTTTACAGAGGAGGAAACTGAGGCCCAGGAAGACGAGTGGCCAGGGTCATACACAAGGAGAGCTGGGGTAGCTTCACAATCACTCTAGGAGAGACGTAGACTGATTGCCCCCATTTTATAGAGACAGAAACTGAGGCCCAAAAAGGTTAAAGCCAGAGCACAGGGCTTAGAGTAGAGGAGTAACCTTAAGGAGAGAGGTGAATCCATAGATCACAGAATGAGACCTTGGACTCATCTACTTTGCACTCATGGTATCAGAAAGGTTGACCTGACCTTCTGCCTCAGTCTGCCTCTGTTCCTTCCCCTCGCTGCTTCTGGTTTTGCCCTCTGGTCAAGCAGATCAAAGCTCCTTCCCTCCTCCACAGGACACCCCTCAACTCTCATGACACCCCCACTCCTTCCCAAGGCTGTTGTTATTGAGTCGTTTTCAGCCATGTCTGACTCTCCGTGACTCCATCTGGGGTTTCCTGGGCTGAGATACGGGAGTGGCTTGCCACTTCATTCTTCAGTTCATTTTACAGGTGAGGAAACTGAGGTAAACAGGGTGAAGTGACTTGCCCAGGGTCACACAACTAGGGTGTGTCTGAGGCCAGATTTGAACTCAGGTCTTCCTGACTCCAGGCTCAGCACTATCCACTGCACCACCTCACTGCCCTTCTCCAGGCTTAATGTGCCCAATTCCTTCAGCCAATTCTCATGAGGATTTAGAGTTGGGAGGAGGCCTTAGAGGTCTAACTCCTTTATTTTTAGAGAAACTGAGGCCTAGAGAGGTTAGGAACAAACACAAAAGATTTAAATTAATAATAATAGCATTTTATAACCCTTCAAGGTTTGCAAAGGGCTTTATAAATATTACCTCACAACAATGCTGGGAGGTAGGCTATTATTATTCCCATTTTACTGATGGGGAACTGAGGCAGACAGAGGTTAAGTGATTTGTCCAGGGTCACACAGCTGGGAAGTATCTGAGTCTGGTTTTAACTCAGGTCTTCTCGATTCCAGGTCCAGTGCTCTATCTACTGCACCACCAGCTGCTCAACGAGATAATGGATGGGAGAACTGACATTTAGACCAGCAGTTCTCAAAGTGTGTTCCACATATCCTTATGTGTCCTTAAGATCCTTTCATGGGTCCATGAGGTTAAAACTAATTTCTTAATAATACTAAGATGCCTTAATTTCTAAAACAGGAAATATCAACAGATATAACCCTCATAAACAAAGGCTATAGGAGGAGGGATATTTGATCATTTTTAAGAGCAGAAGGGAGTCCTAAGTCCAAAACGTCTGAGAATTGCTAGTTTGGACAAGGGAAGCCATTGGAAGGTAAATCAAGAACTAGAGGGGAGCTTGGAATTCCTCTGATCCAAGCTCCTTATTTCACAAATAAGGAAACTGAGGTCCAGAGAGAGCCAGTGGCTCCCCCCGGGTGATACACAGAAGTAAAAAGCTGAGCCAGGATTCAAACTCAGATCCTGTGACTCCTTTATAGAGCCCCAAGCCCAGACCCTCCATGGCTTGGCCAAGGTCAGACACCTTGGCTCAAGTATCTGAGCCAGGACTTGAACCCGGGCCTCCTGATTTTGATTCGGAGGCTCATTCCACTGTGCCAAGTATGCCAAGGCAGCAGCCTGCCATGCTGGTGGCCTATCTCAGGGTGAAGCCCAGGCCCAACTGCTTACTAATTTTGTGACCCTGGACAAGTCTTCTCTCTCATGACCAGGGTAGGGACCATGTTGTTGCCTTTCTGCATATCCCTAGAGCTTAGTACAGTGCCTGTAACATAGTAGAAACTTATTTAATAACTGCTTGTTGACTGACTGATTGACTATCTGGACCTCAACTTTTTCAGGTGTGAAATGGGGATAAGAATGCTTATTATTGAAGGCCTAGGGCCTCCCTGATGACAGCACTTCATAAACTTTAAAGTACCTCATGGCATAACAGGAAAAGTGCTAGACTTGAAGTAATAGAACCTGGGTTCAAATTCCAGCTTTGCTACTTACTACCTCTGTGACATTGAATGTACCCTTTCTCCCTCTTTCAGCCTCAAATTCTCCCCCACACACAGTAAGGGAGCTAGCATAGAAGGTCATTGATTGTTCAAAATGCTGTGTGACTTTGGGTAAGTTACAGAATCATAGAACTACAGAGTGTGAGTTGGACAGGACCCGAGTGACCCTCTAGAGAAACCCATATCCACTAGGACACACCTGACAAATGGTGTCCAGTCTCTTCTTGAGGACCAGCCAAGGAGGCGCTCACCATCTGTGCTTAGGGACTGCTCTAATCAGCAGGAAATTTATTCCTGTCATCATTCTTAAGTTGGGTTTAGGGCAACTTTGCCCTCATTTCCCCTAAATAATAACAACCACCACAATAACATTTATATAGCATTTACTATGTGCCAGACAGTATGTTAAATGCTTTATAATCACTATCTCATTTGGTCCTAACATCATCGTAATAATAGCATTTATATATTACTTTAAGGTCTGCAAATAAAGTGCTTTACAAAGATTATTTCAGTTTATCCTCACAACAATCCTAGAGGGTCATTATCATTATTATCCCCATTTTACAGACAAGGAAACTGAGACACAGGAAAGTGAAGTGACCTTCCCAGGGTCACACAGTTAGGAAGTATCTGAGATCAAATTTGAAATCCAGTCCTTCTGACTCCAGGTCCAGCACGCTATCCAATGAGCCACCTGGCTGCCAAATTTTGCCTAGTTCTTCCCTGTGGGGCAAAATCAAACTATTCTAATCCCTCATCCATATGTCAGTCCATCAAAAGAGTGTCAGTAGGATGCAGAGCCAAGATGGTGGATTTGAGGCAGCAGACCAGGTAAACTCTCTCAATATTCCCCTCCAAACCACTTTAAAATGATGCCTCAAATCAAATTTTGGAATGATAGAACCAACAAAAGGTCAGGGTAAAATATTTTTTCAGACTAAGAAAACTTAGGAGGTTCTGCAAAAGAAGTCTATGACACCAGAGTGGAGGCCTGTCCAGAATTCCTGCACACAGTAGCAACAGTTGCAGGAGCTCTCAGCCCTGAGATGGTGAAGGGGAATCAGACAACTGTCAGCAAGAGATTACAGGGGACCCTTTGCTGGCACTGTGTGCAGTTGGTGCCAATTAGCAACTCTATTACACATACTCAGTATTGGATCACAGTTCCACAGACAAGAGGAGCACTAGCACTTGTGGATTCGGGGGAGCAGGAGCTGTTCCTGGGTAAAGATCAGAGCACAGACCAGGAGAGTAGTGGCCACACCTGTCCCCGGGTCACACCACCTTGGAAGCACTGAAAATTGGCAGGCCCCCAGAACTAACTTTGAAAACAGTAGCACAAAAATCCTGAAGCTTGGCACAGTACCTCCCCACCCCAGGTGAGCAGAACCCAATTTTAACATAAAGTTCAAAATGAAGAAAGGCTAGGAAAATGAGCAAACAACAACAACAATGAAATAATTTGACCATAAAAAGCTACTACTGTGGCAGAAAAGACAAAGACACAAACTCAGAAGAAGACAATAATGCAAAAAAAAAAAAAAGCTACCAAAGCCTCAAAGAAAAATGCTAATTAAGCCCAAGCCCAATAAGAATTAACATTAAAAAACAGAATTGACCTAATGTTAAAAAATAGAGAGAGAGAGAGATACAAATGTTCACTGAAGAAAATAACTCCTTAAAAAACAAAGTTGGTCAAATGGACAAAGAGGTACAAAAGCTCACTAAAGAAGATAATTTCTTAAAAATTAGAATTGGGCAAGAGAAAGCTAACGATTCCATGAGTCATCAAAAAACAATAAAATAAAGTCAAAAGAATGAAAAAAAAAGAAAATGTGAATATTTCATTGGAAAAACAACTGATCTGGAAAACAGATTGAGTAGAGAAAATTTAAGAATTATTAGACTATCTGAAAGTCATGATCAAAGAAAGAGTTTAACTTTATTGTTCTGGAAGACAAAGGAGCTAGGATTACAACCGAGAATAACCTAACCAACAAAAGAGAATACAATCCTTAAAGGGAAAATGGATATTTAGTGAAACAGAGAACTTCTGAACATTCCTGATGAAAAGACCACAGTTGAATAGAAAATTTAACATTCAACATGAGATTCAAGAGAAGCATAAAAAGGTAAACATGAAAGAGTAATCATAAGGGACTTAATAAAATTAAACTGTGTACATTCCTTTATGGGAAGATGAGGCATGTAACCCCTAAGAACTTTCTCATTTGTTGTTATTGTTGTTAATCATTTCAGTCACGTCTGAATCTTCATGACTCCATTTGGAGTTTTCTTGGCAAGGATCCCGGAGTGGTTTGCCATCCCCTTCTCCAGTTCATTTACAGATGAGGAAACTGAAGCAATCAGAGTCAGTGTCCAGAGTCACACAGGTAAGAAGTGTCTGAGGCCAGATTTGAACTCAGGAAGATAGGTCCTCCTGACTCCAAACCCAGCACTCTATGCACTATGCCACTTAGCTGCTCCCATTTTAAAAATGAAAACTTTCTATTCTTTCATGTTTTTATCATCAATTATATTTTTTACTGACTACAATAATTGTTCTACCATTGATTTGATAAATGTGTCACTGACTCCCAAGAATACTTTTTAAGAAATACAGCTAGGTTCTTACTTGTGCAAATAATGAATCTCCTGAAATGTGTTTGAATTTGCACTGTTTGAAGTTATAATTATGTAA